TCCAGTGAGTGGCATCCAATTGAATGTATCCTGAAACTTGCTGACGTGTATCGTAGAGCTAATACTCACAGTGCGCAGGGTGAATAATCTGGAAAAAGGGTTAGTTTCCATTCAGAGCTTTAAATACACCTGGGAGCTGTCAGTTGCTTCTTTCCTGGAGCTGTTTTCTGAGTGCACATGCTCGGGATGAAAGCCGAGAAAAAAGGCAGTTAGCAGTAGCTTCCTTTCTAGTCAGTTAGCAACAGCTTCCTTCCTGGGATTGGCAACAGCCTCATATTCAGGATGAATGTCGAGAAAGAAGCTCAAGTCCAGCATCGAGGTTTCAAATTTGTCTGGGAGAAACCGTTGATTTCTTGCCTCAGAGTGCCTGTTTGAACGCTACTAGAAGAATTTCAAGAATTGCCTGAAATGTGTTCCACAAGCGCGTCGAATGGTATCTGCGATTGCATTCTTCAAAAAAGCCATATACACGATTGATCGCTGATGTCTCATGATTCCCTAAACATAAAAAGTGGCATTTTACTCAGCAGAATAGAAAATTATTCCATCATTTCGTAGAAGCAAGCAAATTTTCTGAATGACTCATGATCCAGTAGGTCTTCCTAAAGTAAATTATGAATTATAACCATTAAGATTTGCGGGGAAAATCGTTCGGGACTAGCACTAAGCCAGAAATGAAGTCAACTGGAGCGCAAAAATTATGAACAACTGGAAAGCAGAAATTCTTGTGCTTAAAATTACGAACAGCAAATACTCATACGAAGTCGTGATTTGAAAACAACGCACACTTTCAAACAACTTTTCCACACAAAAAACTCAATTATGAGGAAAAAAATATAAAAGTCGTTTTTGAAAGGAGACCGAAAAATAAGTTGTCGTTATCGGTTATCAAAAATAAGTTATCGAAAAAAAGTTCGGGAAATAAATTCTTTTTAATCGTTTTACTTCACCCTGATTTATCGAGTTTAACTGTCTTGATGAATGAAATGAGCTTGAATTTATTTTCTCACATTTACTTTTTCTTTTTTGTCCCATTCCTGTTTTTTCGCTTTTTCTGTCATAAATTTTCCTCATAAACAATTCTTTTTTCATGATCAATTTTTCATTCCTCTACTCGCTGCTGAGTTTTGGCTTCTTTTTTCGTATTTGATATTTTTCATAATTAATTTTTTCATGCGAAAAATTTTTCCTGAGATTTCATGTTGCAAAATGTCCCGGAAGAAAAGATTGCTTTCTATTGATGTAAAGATTTGAAAAAAAAATTTTGATTTTCCAGTAGACTCGATAGTAAGTTTTTAAAGCTTAATAAATACTGAAATGTTAAAAAGCAAGAAATTTTAATTGCTTGATGGTGCTAACCTCTAAGCATGAAGAAATTTTCCGGGTATTTGATCTTATAACAAAATTGAAGGCATATCGTTTCGATGTTTTGCTTGCCACGGTCAACGAAATCGCCCAAAAAAAGATAATTTGAGTCCGGCGGAAAACCATTCTTGTCATAAATACGGAGCAGATCCGAATACTATAATCATTTGCATTAAGCATATAGATTGGAACTTAGGGCCAACACGCAGACATATTTCTTACTGTGTTGTTTATCTTGTGTTTTCCTTAATTACTTGGCCGCCCGGCTTTTTTTTGTCGTATTTTTCAGTGTGTTGCTGCTCATTACATCGAATTAATTTTAAAGTACCAAGACGTTGGATAATAATTGGCCAACGCACGGCCTGCCCGTGCGAAGATGCGTTTTTTGCATGGTTCCCCGCAGT